AGCAAAGGGTCTGAATACTTATGACCATGTGATATTTCAGTTTTTCTTTTTTAATAAATCTGCAAAAATGTCAAACATTCTGTGTTTTTCTGTCAATATGGGGTGCTGTGTGTACATTAATGAAGAAAAAAATGAACTTAAATGATTTTAGCATATGGCTGCAATATAACAAAGAGTGAAAAATTTAAGGGGGTCTGAATACTTTCCGTACCCACTGTAATTGCCTCCTGTTCCCAGTTAAGGTGAAAAGGGTAAGCTGCACTGAAGTCCCTAGATTGTATTTAATACTATGGCTATCCCTTTTCTTTTAGAGACTGCATTAGAGAGCTTCAGCTATATTAATTTCTGCTGGAGATATTTCCACTTTTGTGTTCCCACTAGTTATCAGAGATAAGAAGACAGTTACAGGGTAACTGAAAACATCTTGACGCAAGTCATTTGCTGTAACAATTGACTCTTTACGCAGCCATAAGTGAACCATGGGATCTAGTGGGAAACAAATTAGCATCCTGTACAAGTACCTAACCTGAGCTGAGTTTAAAAATCCATCTCCTTTAAAAAACTGGAAAGCTTTTAGAGTTACTGATTTTGTGTATCTCCTTGAGAGAGGTATATAGTCACTGTCTATTAGCTGTTTTTGATAGCTTTGTTAATGTGACCCAACAACAAACACCGCAAGAAAATGTCCTTGATCAACATTAAAGAGGCAGAGAGAAATTTTGTTTACACAAACACAAAAATAGCTGACCTATTCAAACCAGAATAACATTTGGGCAGACCATCAGGAAGTTGGAAAAATAAAACTAAAAACCTGACATCACTGCCAACATGAGAACATTGCAACTGTAGAACTATAAAATCAGACTGAGGTTTATTAGTCCACCAGTAAAAGCCATTTTTTATTAAACACCAAATATTCCAATATTTCTAAATTATTATTGGAAGATAAAACCATCAATGAGGGAATTTTAAAAATTTCAGTCAAATCTCAGGGTTTTACTGCATATAGAGTTACAGGATTAGGTGTTGTCAAATCCTGTAATGTTTCATTTTACCCAAGTGCTGAAGGGATGCACTGGATTTATAACACAAGACAAAACAAAGCATCACAATAATCACTTTAACTCGATTATTTTGTCAGTCATTGGAAGCTAAAATTGTATTTGAAAATAAAATTAATGACCCAGCCCTAGAAGACAGGTGTAAAAGGTATTAGCATATTACAAAATAATTTTCAATATAATCCAGTCCAATGCAACCACAGAACAGTCAACACACATACAGCTGAAGTAGGTAACTAAACAAATACAGTATGTGGCAGTTTATTGCAGCAATATTTACTGCATTGTAATGCAGTGTATAAAAGTTTCTGGTTACTGTAGTGAAGTGTAGACTATCACTGACTGGATATGTCTGCTGCAGATCTAAAACAATGTTAATTCCAAGGAGCTTTTTGTTAAAATTGTAATGTGAATGTGCAGGGGTCAAGATATTATTCATACTCATGTTACTTGCTCTGCCAAAAGTAAATAACAAAAAGACCTTGTCCTCTATTACTGAGATAGCTTGGAATTTCATGAGAGGTTGTAATCTTATGGTTGCAATCCCATATCATTGTTGTAGTTGTGTACAAAAAGTTAAAGGGTGTTGACCTGTTGGCACAAGCAGAAGGATATTGAGGGAAATGTGCAACTAACTCAATGCCTAGACACAGATGCTACACCGAGTCTGAGGTTAGATAGCATTTACCATAACACATGCAGGTACTATACAGATGGCTAGGGGCATGAGACAGACACATCTGCAGCATCAACAGCTGTGGAGCCAGCACTATAGGAAATCTTTCACAAGGACAAAGGGGAGAAGTAGCTACAATGAGTCTGCTCCATTGCTGCTGCATGGAGCAAAGTCTCATCATATACACAAACAAATAGCACCAGATGGTCCTCAACAGCTCATTAACACTCACAGTGACAGTCATTATCATTACAGAACCGCAACAAGTGCAAACAAACACAGAGACAGATGCGATAAATACAAGTAGGATTTAGATGTCTGACATTTTTTTAAACGTATTCCATCTTTTGGTACTGCTGATAGTACTCTGACTCTGTTGGTACCTTGTATTTGTCAATATTCTCTCTCATACTCGCACATAAATACATGAAAGCTTTGGCCCAACTCATCAAGTTTGTGATCTGCATGTTTGTGTTGCACAACTTTCAGTTTTGTTTCCATTTGTCTACCGGATATTTACCTGCACATATCTTTCATACACACAGTTTCAGTTTTTTGTGAAAAAACTAACTGCAACACAATCCTACAATGCCTGTCATGAAAAAGGAGACAGGCTTTAGCCATCAGGTTACACACTTCTATCACCTTGCAACATGGTAACTTTATCATGTTCCTACAATGATGAATTATTAATTACAGCAATTAAAAATTAACTAACTAGCTAACTTGGGCCTGTTAGGCTCATTTGGCCAGTACCAGTTTTGTGAAATACTCGAGGAACAAGCCATCCATAGAAACCATTATAACAATATGCTAAAGTTTTCATTAAAGCTACTCAACCTAATTTCTTTTCAGCTGCTACTGAGACTCAAAGCAAACTGACATCATAAGACATTCCTAACCACTTTTTGCCCCACCCATCATGTTTTGTTTCCTAACGACAATGTCAACTATGGATGCCTGTATGTGACAAACCGTACAAAATGCAGCCTCCGGCCTGAAGCTAGCATTGACCTATTAACAGGTACATTTGGTAATCCAGTATAATGCTCTGGTTACTTTTT